TTTTAAAAAAAAATTGTCACCAAGCATTTTGACAGATAAGTAAAATAGACCTTTAAATAACAAGTATTAAGGTGTTGATTTATTCTTAAACAAGGTTATCCTTATCGCTTATTGTTATCATTATCGTAATGCGAATTTTAAAGTTTATATATTATCATGGCTATTATGGTAAGTTACGGTAAATTACCATGGTAAGTTGCTATAAACCACAGAGACCTTGAGATAAAATAAAATACCATAGTAAGTTGCTATAAACCACAGAGACCTTTATATAAAATAAAATACCATAGTAAGTTGCTATAAACCACAGAGACCTTTATATAAAATAAAATACCATTTTGGTCAAAGGTTATAAATTACCATAATTTACAACACTGGTTGTTCTCCAAATTCAGTTAAATCTAACACATGAGTGCTGCAGAGAAAGTAAATATTTAAGTTTTTCACTGCAGCAGCGAACTTAGCCCCTAAAAATTTAGCTATATTAGACTCTATTAGGTACGTACATAATTATATAATATATACTCACAAATAGAAAAACTTAAATATTCACTTACAGAGTTTTTTGTACATATGAAATTCTATCTTTAAAAGATAGAAAACATGAGAATCTCAAAGGCTTGTACTCCCAAAATAAGCTACGTACGTACATACGGTACAGAAAATTCTGAAACCTCAATCTCCATGATAAGATGATGTATAAACTAGTACGTATGTAGCTTATTGAAAAAAATTTCTTAAATTATAAATCTCAATAAAGCGATGGGCATAGAAATAATACGCCAAAAATAATTTACACTTTATTAGTGCTGTTTTATGCATACAGCTAAAGCTTAAAATAAGCTGTTACTTAATTAGCTTATCTCCAATGCGCTGGTCGTTTTTTGCTCTATATAAAGTGATCGAGGTTTTTAGATTTCTTGCACATGCCTTTTGTTGAATTTTAATTATTCTAAAAAACTGTAAATCCTGTAAATAAGCCACCTCTTGTGTTGTGCTTAGATTATTTTAAAGCTATAAATCCCGAAAACAAGCTACCCCTGATTTTTTAAGCTTAAAATTGTCTAAAAAAAGGTAGCTTATTTTTGGGAAAATACGTTATAGACATCACAATTGCATTGTAGTGCAAGAAATTTAATTACAGCTTAATGACTGTATAAATTAGAGTTTGCTTAGTATGATTGTAGCTCAGTGACTGAAAATACAGAAATGATGCAATGATCACTTAACTAATAACTTAAGTATCATATGTTAATGATAAAGTGTGTAGCATTGCAAGGACCTTAGTATTATATAAAGTTTGGCATTAATAGATGTAAGTACATAGAGTATAAGGACCTAATTTGCAGCTTAATGATTATTTGATATGTAGTATCTGATCAAAGTTTTAACTTTTGTATATTATGCTATTAAACATTAATAGATATAAGGTTCTGTAGCAGTACAAAGACCTTAATTGCAGCTCATTGACTATGAATTAGAGTTTGCTTAATATGATCGTGACTCAGTAATTGAAAGCAGTGCAATAACCACTTGATCAATGACTTAAGCATATATGCCGATAGGTATTGGTAAATATAAAGTTCACATTGTATAGCAGTACAAGAATTTTAATGAATATATAATATAGAGTCTGCTTAGTGTAAGTATATTATGCTGATAGGCATTAATAGGTGTAAGATACTACAGCTGCATAGTGCAAGAACCTTAATTGCAGCTCAATGACTTTATGAATTAGAATTTGCTATAATCGTGGCTCAGTGACTGAAAGCAGCTCAATGATCACTGATCAATAGCTATAGCATATGATGCTAATAGACATTGGTAGATATAAGGCTCTATAGCTGCATAGTAGTACAAAGACCTTAATGAATATATACATAAAGCTGCTTAATATGATCGTACAATGACTACTGATTAAAGTTTTAATTTAGGTAAATATCTTATGCTAATAGACATTAATAGATATAAGGCTTTACAGCTGCTTAGAAGTTCCTTAATTTAAAAATATACTAACTACTGATATATACAAATAATAACTCTTTGTAAAAAAGTTACCTGGCTAGATAACAAAAATCAGTTTTATTTGTTTATATGATGAATTAATTTAATTAATTATAAGAATATATTAATCAAACAATTCATCAAATCTAACTTCAATAGTTTCAATTTCTATCCAAACATGTATATGTTCTTCTGCAAATACTTGACTTATTATTTGATCAGATAAAAAGCTTTTTCTATCTAATTCTAATGAAGATTTGATAATAAATCATTTTCTATTTGAGAACTATTAGAAAATAAGAATGTAAGCAAATCTTGAAAAGTCATATCTTTTGTAACATGAATATTTGCTTTAAATAGTGATTTCTTTTTTGTATGAACTGTAATAGATTGTAATATTAATGCAATTTTTGGTGATACAACTTCTATGGATGTAATAATATTTTCTAATAAAATTTTGTTGTAAATATAAATTATTATTAATAAATTATAAGCTTAATATATTTTTAAATATATAATTATAAAGTAAAGATGAGATTTATATATCTGTTTAGATAAAACAAAGTTTATCCATATCTGTCTATCCATTCTTGTTTAACCCTAACAAATATTCAAATAAATTAAATAACAAAAATTATTTTATATAGATGCTAATAATCATATTTTTGTTATAAATGTAATTAGCTTAAATTAAAACTTAATTAGCTGATAGCATCATATGTTATATTATGAATATCCAGATAATCTAATTTAATTATTTAAGATTAATATTTTAATAAATAATTATATCATATTTGGATTATCTGGATCATTTAGATAAAAGTTTCATCTCTACTATAAAGAAGAACAACTATATATTTATACCTTAAGATATTATATTTATATTATTTAAAGGACAATTTGATGTTGGGTATCGATATTTAGATTTATCAAATAATGGTGAATTTGGTAGAGTTTTTTCATCAACACTTTTTATTTGAGTAAGCTTAATAATATATAAAGTATTACATATATTAAAAGTTTAAAATTTTATTATTTTTTAAACAATATTTAATATAAAAGACTAATATAAAGCTTGATTTAACTTGAAGTAATAAATGCAATTAACTAATTTTAAGCACTAATTAAATACTACCTAATTACTTCAAGATGAATCAACTTTATATTAATTTTTTATATTTAATTATTGTAATTATTAAATAATCTACAATTGCATATAACTATAATATTATTGCTTCACTATCTAACTTTAAATGCCGATCATCTTCTGAAATTAAATATCTTTGAGTATATATAGAACAAGTTAGAAGATTATCATAAATGTTTTTTTGATAGTATTTAAGGTAGCTATAGTATTTGAGTCTGTTTCAAGTGTCTTTTAATGCAACAAATATATTTTAACTTTATAATTATTAACTGTCATAATTAATATTAAATCAGCTAATACTGAAATATATAACTTATACAAATTCTCTTATTTGATTAATTTGATTCTTCATAATTATGTGTATTCTTATTTCTTGGTTCTTGATAAACACATAATTGTAAATTATTTTTATGCTTTATCTCAGCAACAAATGCTATAATTGCACCATCAGATTTTAAATCATAGTGATCTGCCTTTAAAGTACTTGAGGTTTGAAAACAAATACGACTAAGTTCAATTTCTCCCCATTGCTTGGGAAGTGTGCATGACAAAATCTCTTCTTCAACATCTCCAAAAGTCTTTATATTATTAAGATTAAATGGAATAGCCAATGCGCCATCTAATTTCTTATGAGGTTTTTTAAATTTATTATAATACACTAATATAATAAATACTAAATATAATAGAAATCATAATAAATAAATAAAATTAAAAAATTATATATTATAAATATACTAAGTAACATATTTATTATATTTTATACCATCCGGTGTTTTAACTATAGGAACTACTATTGTTACAGGAGCTTCTACTTCAATTATTTTATTATTGTCAATAATAAATAAACTAGATGATATAGAAAAATTTGTTGTAAAAATAAAATCTAAAGATTATTTAGTTGTTAAATCTATAGTTTCAATAGTTTCATCTATAATATTAATATTTTCATTTGATTCATGTTGATTTTTTTTTGATCTAAAATTATAAATATAATTAAAATAATATATCAGATATAATAAACTACAATTAAAAAATTTACTATCTTTATATTTTTTATACACTTCAAACAGATATTCACAAAGTTTTGATCTATAACATCAACTTTAGATACATTGCTTTGAAACCAATTCACAAACTCTTTATCATACTTTTTTTTTGTTTGTTAGCTCCTGTGTGTATAATGTGTTTATTATGAAAACCTTGTTGATATTCACTGCTTTTGCTTTTTTGATTAAGCTCTATAGGTTGACAAAGACAGTCTTCACCATAAATCTTCAAGCATACAAAACATACTGAACAGATAGGACAAGCATTAGAGCAATAACTAAGTAAAGGTAAATGTTGTGACATTGTGTTTGTGTTACTAAATTGTTATTGTCGTCCTCAATAAATATATCAAAAATTGTATTGTGGTCAAAAATCATAATTACCGACAAATGCAAAAATTTTTCAGTAAATATAATTACTAAAAATTCACTAATGATCATCACAAAATTTATCACGTGTCTTACTAATTTTCAAATCAGCTGTAATAATTATTATTAATTATTAACTAGGTTAACAGGAACTGTTGTGAGTCTGAAGCATAACATATTTTAATAATTAGTTAAATAAACTAACTAGAGTTTTATAATATATATATATTATTTTTTAATGTATATAAATAATATTATGTAGGATTTTTTTTAATCAGAAGTCTAGTGTAGTTCATAATAGCCAATTACAGTATAGTCACGTGGCAGACAGACAGACATTTTTCAAATCAAAGGTCTAGCATGGACTGTAACAGCCAATCACAAAGTCATGTGCAGGACAGACAGATATTTTTCAAATCAAAGGTCTAGTGTGGAACGTAATAGCCAATCATCAACAAGTCATGTGCCGGACAGATGGACATTTTTCAAATCAAAGGTCTAGTGTAGAATGTAGTAGCCAATCATTAACAAGTCACATGCTAGACAGACAGACATTTTTCAAATCTAAGGTCTAGTGTAGACTATAGCAGCCAATTACCAACAAGTCACGTGCCAGACAGAAAGACATTTTTAAACTTTTACATGTATATGTAAGTCATCACTATGCTTTGGACAATTAATCTCTTATAATCTCTTATCTAGAAAAGTTAGCTTTGACACGACTTTTTGAACTAGGTAAAGAAAAAAAGCTTTGTCTGAATTTTAATATATACTAAAAAAAAATAATAATAGGTATAGTTACTAACAAAATAGCTAGGGTTTTTTTTAGAGATTGAAATTTCGAGTTCAGTTTTTAAAGCAGAATAAGCTTTTAACGGTGTTAGTAATGAAAAATTTAGGTTTAAGACACTTTTAAATTGGTTTGGTTTTTTAAGTTTAGTCATAGGTTGTAGATATGAGATTTTTTGATTGTTAAATTTAGTGAGTTCTGGTTGTTTTAATAGTTGACTAATCTCTTATATATATGTAATCAGTGTTTCTACTGATTAGTATAAAATTTTTCTTCTTGAAGTTTGTTTTTTATTATTGCATTATTGTAAAATGATGAATGAAATTTGTGGCATCACAGCAATTTTATGAAATTAAGCTAAAATGCGGTCACCAAATCTGAGTATTTGGTCACCAATTTTACATTTAGTTATCAAATTACATATTAATAAATCAATATTAAACCCCGAAAAAAAAGTTTTTTGGACCTCTGATTTTGATTGCCTATCTTTCCCATTTTGATATATTTTATTTGTTTTTACTAATTTCCCCAGGTTTCTGATTACCCAGAATTGTTTATATATCATCTTCTTTTTAAAATATGACACCTTGGTTAGAGTTAGTAATCTAGTTAGTAGATGCCCCTTATACTAAAATTTTGTAAGGAATTTTTTTATTTGTACACAAAAAATCAGTTCTTAGACAAAATTTTGAGGTTAATGAGATTTTCAAAAATCAAGTGATTGTTTTTAATTTTCACATTACACCTGATTCTGCCCTCTGATTGGTCAGAATCATAAAACCTGGTAAATGCATTTTAGAACAGTGATATATATTATATAATATCTTTTTATCAAGAGGGTTACCCCTCCTCCACATCATATATGATCATATATAAAATATATATATGATATATTATCTTTAGTTACTTCTTCTCCTAAGATTTTACATAATATTTGCCACTGCTAGGCAGTGATATACATGGACATGTCCATGTCCATAGACTGTCCATGGACATAGATATGGACTGTCAATGGACATAATAAAACTATAGAGTGTCCATGTCCTTGTCCATGGATATAAACTATATATGTCTATACATCCATGAATAGGCATGGACACTGTCCATGTACAACACTGCTGCTAGGAATGGAAACAACTGGTTACAGCTAGCTATTAGCTAGCTATTACCAGCTAGCCACTTATAGCTTGCTAGCTGCAGCTAAATAGCCAGCTATAGCTGATCAGTTTTTTAGAAATAGTGTAAGAACTAGCAGCAAAAATATTAGTTTCTGTTTGTTGATATTGTTTAAATAATAGACAGTTTTCTTTGTTATCAAGGACCAAATTTTCTAATGTACTAAACCACAAAGGTATTTTACCTTTGTGTATACATCTAAGTTTGGGATATAAATGTGTTTATTCTAGTAGGTTTGTATTGTCTGCTGTACAGAGCTGTTCAAGATAAAGTAATTTGTGTTTTCTAAGTTGTTGTTTAAAGACAATATATTTGAGATGTTTTATAAAAATTGTTTTCAAAGATTATAGATTATATTAGATAGTATAAGACCATAGAGAATTTGAGTTCACTATAATATTTATTTGAAGATAAGCAAGAAGTTGTATAATTCTGCAATTAAGAGTAGACTTGTTTAGTCTATCAATTATTAGATTAAAATATTGCAAAATGTTAATGCTAGACCACAGATTATTTTGAAGCTGCTGTAATCTGATACAAGTTGTGGTTCCTAGTAGATTGGAGTCATTAATATGTATGAGAAAGTTAGTGATATGGTGTTGTAATTATATATCTCAGATATTGCGAATATTATATAAAAAGGAGTTAAGTATGATACTGTTAGAAATAGATCTGGATAGATGTGACTTATGTTTTGTAACAATAAGATATTTTGCAAAGATGTTATTACAAGTAGTATAGGGTAGAACTATATTATATAGACTATATTTCAGAGTTGGTATGATAACAGTATTGATAATATAGACTATTTGTTTATCTGTAATTTTCTTTGTATTTGCTATGTAAATTAATTGATATATTACTTGTTGTATATATTTAATTTGTTCTGATTGTTTATTATTTAATATAAATCAGCAACCAAGATATTTAAAGAGTTCATTAATAGAAACTGAGTTTAATGTAGAGTTGATAAACACTAGTCGAATATAAGAAATTCAACCACTGAATGAAATGGCCGAATCAACCTAAATTCGACTGTCGAATATTTAGCTAATATTATACCAAATGATAGAGTAAATTGACAGTTAAATGTTAATAAAAAATTGGCAACTGAATTCAAGTCAAAAATTTCAATCGACAACCAATTGATATAATAAAATCAACTTGTAATCAATAACCAAATACTTATAAAATTCAAAATAAAATCAGTATAAATTCAATAGCCGAATTTAGGTCAATTCGGCCATTTCATTTGGTAGTTGATTAATCACAATAAATTAACTTATAATCGACCACTGATTACTTATAAAATTCAGAATAAAATTGATATAAATTCAATGGCCAAATTCAGGTTGATTCAGCCATTTCATTTAGTAGTCGATTAATTACAATAAATCAACTTATAATTGACCACTACATACTAATAATTGACAACTACTTACTAATAATATTTGGTATAAATTCAATAGCCGAATTCAAGTCAACTTGGCTATTTCAATTAATTGTCGATTAATAATCAACAATCAATTACTAATAACATTTGTACAAATCAAATTCTGGATGATTTTAACATATTATAAATTTATTAAAACAAATTAGATACAAATTTAAGAAAAAAGAAAAAAACAAAGTAAGAAAAAAACAAAATAAAGAAAAGAAAAAGAAGTGAATAAAATTTAAAAAAAAAACAAAAAAAGAAAGAAGAAAAAAAAATTAAACCTTTTGTTTTCTTGAAGATTCCTCTATAGTATCAGAAGCTGGTCTTTTACTATGACTTCTGACACTCCTCCCTTTGTCATCCCTCCATTCACCATCATCATCAGAACCTTCATCCTCATCTAACTCATCCTCTTCATCCTCTTCATCCTCTTCCTCCTCTTCCTCTTCATCCTCCTCATTCTCCTCATCGTCATATTTATCTCTTACTGCCTAATTAGGCAGATTATCAGATCGAGAAGCCATCAACATATATAAGCTTCAGCAGAAATGTTTGAAATTAAATTGCACAGCTGTATCAAGGACACCATGCAACAAATTAGTTAACTATTAAAATAAAAAGAAAAAATTAATATACAAATAAATTAATTAAATTAGTTATTATCATTCAACTGATGATTAGTATGTCAAATAATATGTTATGTATATCATTTGACATACTGAACATTAGTCGAATGGTGGTTGAATTTTTGCTAGTGTAACAGAAAAAAAAATTTTATATTTTTTTGACCTTCAAGCCAAGATATGGACGTTAACATACAGACGACCTCTTTCATTCATTTCTTTACTGAAGTCTGATATCTCAGGTGAATAGATGTTATTATTGGCTAAAATTTTAGTTAATTCATCCATAGCATAGTCAGAAAGTCGAGTATCCTTCTTCAAATAAAGGTACTTGAATGTCAAAGCTCGCTGAGACATTTTCTGTAAAATTAAATTAAAATATTGAAAACTAAAATTTAGTAAATTATGACTTAAAATCAACCTAAATTCAGCTAGGTCGATTTTTTATAACTTGAAATCAACATAACTGAATTTAGGTTGATTTTAAGTCATAATTTATAATATATATATATAACTCATACATCGCCACTTTAGTAGCTTTGTGGATCTGTTCATCAAAATGGGTGCTTCAGATTAGATCTGACATATACCTTGGATATTGCAAGACGATTTGAGATGCTGTCTCAACATGTTAGCCAACTTGGTCTGATTGGTGCCATATTTCTTCCCTAAAAGCTCAACTAGCATAGGGATCATATTTTGGCTTAGTTGATCTTTTTGTTCATTCCACTTTAACTCATAGTTAAGCCAAAAATCTCCACCTCTTTCATTGAAGATAAGAAAGAGTTCACTCTATTAATAATAAATTAATTTTGATTTAAAAAAAAATAAATATAAATATATGTCAAATATAATTAGTATATATCGAATATAATTAATTATAGCATTAATATTATTAGTTTTAAATTTAAAAAAAAAATATAAAGAAATATATACTCAAAGAGCTTTCCTTCTAGCCCTATTATTTTTGAAACTGAGTTGG